GTTGGACACCGCTATAAACCTGTGAAGGATCCCTGTAGCCATGTCATTGTTATAGTACTGCTGTTAAGAAGGCCACGATACTGTAACAATAGTTTGCTATAACACATTCTATAAATTTAAATTTTTATTACTAATAAGATTCAAACTTTTGTCTTGTTATAACAACTTACTAACTATACTAAATCACTATACTGTATCCTCATTTATATTTATTTACTAAATGCTATAACTAAAATCTGTATACAGTATAAATTTCTTATTTAAACTTTCTGATTAATTTTATACTATTAAAAATTCTTTCTAATAAGCAACTAATACTAAGATTTCTTAGAACCACTTTATTTTTATAATAAACTTATTAGTATAGTTTATATTATATATATATTACTTAGATTTTAGTAACTTATGTATTGACTATAGCTAAGTACTTGTGATTTTTTATTTCTGCTACTATTATCTACTCTATACTCTTGTAAAGTTTACTCAAATCCTAATATATATTTTACAGAATATCAATAATATTTTGGTCTTTAACTATTCTAAACTTTCTATTTAGATAGTTTAAAAAAGCTATAATCTGCTTCTAGTTATCATAGTTAAAATTTTCCTTTATTTACTTCTCTAATAGCCTGGTTAATAGAGTATCTTGTCTAATACTTCAGTCTTATTCAGATTGCCAGATATCTAATTTTTCAGATAATAATTTTTATATCTAATTATCAAAATTTTGTATTATTTCTTTAGTTAGGTCTTGCCAAGTGAACTTTTATATCCTTTGATTTTTTGAATTTATTTGATTACTTTACTTAGATTTTATATAACTTATATATTATATTATTGTTTTATATATAATCTTCTAATACAAGCTGGTATTATCAAAGTTACAGATACTAACCTGATTGGTATATTATATAGTTTGTTATAATATATTTTGTAAATTCAAATTTTGTTTCTAGTAGAATTAAACTCTTGTTCTGTTACTTGGAAGATAACAACTTACTAACTATACTAAATTACTACACCTTTTATTACTTAAAGTAATATAAAGTTAAATAATAAAAAATAATAATAAATAATTATAATAATAGCAAAATAATATTAGTAACAATAATAGCAAAAAATTTGAAAAAAAATATTTTATTAAAAAAAATGATTTTAGATTTTCAAAAAATAAGACATATATATAATTTTTTTTAACTTCACTATAAGAAAAGGCTTTTAATTTCTACTATTTATATTTTTAATATAATTTCTATCTATGAAATAATATAAAATAAAATATATATAAGAAGTTATGTGAGTTGGTAAATAATAATCTTTGATAACATTAGGCAGATTTTTAATTTTTAATCAGAGTTTAAAAGAGATTTAACCGAATTTTAAATATAGAGCATCACTATTCCGATTATATATTGTTCTAACAAATCAATAAACTTGTTCCATAAAGACAAAATTAATTGGCTCTACTTGAACAAAAAAAGTATCTAAATTAAAGTATTGTAATACTTTAATTTTATCATCACTCATTAACGATATATTTCCATGTATTTGATTTTTCCCAAAATAAATTTTGATTTTAAACCGATCCATTTCATCTACAATTATTTCTCAGCTAATATCATTAAATAAATTTCTCTTATTGAGTTCTGATAATGCTAATGTCCAAAGTCGATCTTCGATTCTTAATAATACATGTAACTCATCATAGTTAGATAATGGAATCATATTAAATAATGATGCTTTGGTGTGACATATTAAAATAGTTATTTTTTAAATTATCCATTGATTTTGTAATCTACAAATCCCGCATAGTATCATCAATTTCATGTTTAGAACAAAGGTACTAAGCACAAAATAGTTTGAATTTGCGGCATTTAATCCAAGACAGATCGCAAGAAATTTCCAATTACTACTGAAGTATAATTCAAACTGCCAAAGAACCCGTAATATTTAATCCATTATTTCAAGATATCTAAGCTCATTAAGAAATGAATTTAATATAAATTCAAGTGATTCGTATTTTTCAATTCCAGGATATAGAGCGACATATGATGATAATTAGGTGTATCATCAAGAATCATAAATGCTGTCGTGGCATGTTTACTTTTCGATCCACATTTCGACCATCTCCAGAAATTCATAGTAAATTGTTGGATCATGAATTGGCCAAATATTTTCTTGTAACAAATAAGGAATTATATATCGAAGTATTCCTTTAAATCACGTTGACCACCTATATCAAAATTTCATTAACGGTATTATCAGAATCTATAGAGCCTTCATTATTACTGTCTTCATCACTATCTAAATTAATATTATTTGTTACCTTATTCATATTCACAGGTTTAATCGGAATCTTGTTAGTCATCTTGTGGGTTAACTTATTTTGCGGCCAAGTTCCTGTAAATAGAATAATTTATTTATAGAAAAAATTTGAAAAATAAATTACAGCTGTTTTCAAAAGGTTTGAACAACGAATTCTATATACCTGTATGGGAAATTAAAAAGATCAGTGTTACAGACAGGACTGAATCATCAACAATTGTTACTGGAAAAATAGAGATAAGGCGACTCGCCAGAGGCGTGACGTTGGTGATTTGGTTAGAGATATTCTTAAGGGAATATATTATCGGGTTAGTGAGCTAATGTGCCCCTACTTCGCACATCATAAGAGTCGTAACCAACCTTACCCAAGTTA